GAGGAGGAGGCAGGAGCCGTCCCCGCCCCTGCTCCCGCTCCGTGCAGCGGCTGCTCGGAGCTCCCGGGACCATGGAGGCGCCGGCTCAAGGTGAGTCCCCGCCGCGGGGCTGGGGCGCGGGCATGTGGCGAGCTCCAGCGGGGCCGGGTGTCTGTCTGGGGGTCCTCGCGCTCGCTAGTGTAACACCATCCACACAGCAGTCCCTGGCGAGAGGCACAGGCTCCTTGTCCAAGGATGCTTTCCAAGCATGTCACGTCATGTCATGTCACAAGTTGTTTTCGGAACTGTTGCCTCTCGGAGCATGTCTCTGTGCGGTGCAGCGGTCTCCCCTCATCCTCAGCCCTGCTTGGCACCTCCTGCGCCAGCCCGAGCGCACGTAGCCGGCTGCGTGGAGGTCGCTTGTGGGCAGAGGAGCTGAGCCAGGCAAAGGACTGAGTCACCGACTCCACTTGCTGCCATCCCGCTCAGCTGCCCTGGGTGCCAGAACGCAGGGGCCCCCCTGTTCCCCCGCTGGGCGATTCTCCGGCAGGGCGCCGCAGCAGCCTGGGGTTGCTTCCAGGGCTGTTCCAGGGTGCCATGCTGCGGTGGCGCTGCTAGGCATGCCGGCACCGCTCTCGTGAGGTAAAGCCGGAGGGGTCCCATGGGAATGAATCCTTGGTGTGAAACCGTCCTGCCCAGTCGTGGCATCCCTGAGTTGTTTGCGATAGAAAAGTTGCTCTGTTATCTTCCTGCATTCAAAAAGGAGCAAAATAAGTCAGAGGCAGCATTTTCGGCCAGGGGCTTCGAATCTAAGGAAGGGACCCTGGGGCCTGGGAAGTTGAGAGCAGCTGGAATAAAGAATCGGGCATCACTACCCTAGTATCTACCTCGGTATCTAAGGAGGGGTCCCTTGAGCCTGAAAAAGTTGAGAGCGGCTGCTCTGGAATAAAGAATCAGGCATCGCCACCCTGGAAAACTACCTGCATAGGCATACACCAGGTGTTCGAAGCCTTCCCATTCGGGGAATAAGTTTCTCTTCCCCCCCCCCCCCCCCCCCCCCAACTTGTGGTCTGAATTATAGGAATGAACACGTGTGAAACCACACGGCTCACACTGCTCTGTAGCATCCAGACCTTTGGCTCTCGCTGTTCCTTCTCCCAGGCAGTTTCACAGCTAAACCATGTGGATTTAGCCTGCCTTTTTCTGATCTGCCTCCTGGAACTTTAAAGGTTAACACTAATCTGTTGGTGACAACTCAAGTATCCATTTTTTTTTCAGGAGGATGGTGAGGGGAGCCCACTCCACGGAAAAGATAAATGCTCTCTTGACCTCTTAGAGATTAAACAGTTCTGAAAATAAATTGTGGGCTTTTATGTCACTAATGACATGCTGTCTGCCTTGTTTTAAAAGCATCCTTTGAGAACTAGTGATTATCTCCCCAGGGCTTGTACAGATTGCTGTGTAACACAATCCAGGATGCAAAGGGTAGGTATGTATCCCAGCAAAGTGTCCTGATGGTTCCTTGTGCCGGGTGCAGGGAAACAAATCTCACTTCTCTCTCTGTGTCCTGATCCCAGAACAAAGTTTCTTCTGACATTATCTGGTTTCGGTTTTTCATTTCACTAGTTCTCTGCATCCCACTTCAATATAGCATATATATTGCAGTAGCATTTTAACAATTAGCTTCCACTTTTTGAAAGCAACCCCTATTTATTTAATGCCTTATATCTGCACTTTAAACAGAAACCTTCATATCTAAAATTCAGCTCTTTCTAACCTTCCCACACACTGAAATTATAATCCTTGTCTTGTGACAGTGTCTGCGAGAGACACACACAATAAACTAGATTGTGCTACTAATTTTAAACAGAGGTCCCCACTCAGCTCAGTGGTCAGGGTTGATGGTAGTTTTACTGAGAGGTTAGATAACGGATTTGTAAAGGATGGTTTGGATAGGGATGACCCTGCCTTAGGCAGAGGGTTGCACTAGATGGGTTTTCCTTCCAGACCTATTTCTCTAAGATTCTACAACACTTCTGTTGTAAAATGGATAATATAATCTGTCCCAAAGCATCATATGCTGTTTTAGTCACTTCTAGTTAATAAACTATTTTACTGGTAGTTACAATTTAAGAGAAAATATATATTGCATTTATTTTCTTTTTCTACAGTCATCTTAGAATAATGTGCTGAGAACTTTCAGCTATTGCTAGATCGAGTTCACCACTGTGTAAGTTTATTCCGCTGGCCTGTAAGTGGTGTGCCGGCCAACTTAAGGTGTTGTGCATAGGGATGAATTTTGCCTATTCCTTGACCCTTACTGACTCCTTCCTGAACTGAGGAGTTGGTTGCACATTGCTTAGTAGTGTCCAAAATCACAGTGGTCTATATATAACCATTTTTCTGTTGGTACCATGCTTAGAAAATGTACTTGAACATGGATGGACTGAGGAAATTGGAAGACTGGAGGAAGGGTGACAGTTTGTTACAATAAATTCAGGCTGCTTTGATGCTTGTTAGAATAGGTAAGGGGTGTACATTAAATGAACCAAGTCAGGCAAGTGCTTATTGCAAGCAGGATGCTTATATCTTTTTGCAGGGGAGTGCAATGAGGAATTTGGCTTTTGCTTAGTTTTTAAGATGTCACTTTTGTAGTGCTTGGTCCCAGATGAGGCACAGACAGTCTTGAGCAACAAGTGTGTCACTTAAATTGTTGTTACAGATTCATGATAAGGCTGGTTAGCAAAATAAATGGATATACAGCTGAGCCCGGGACATCTTTTCTACAAGACTGTACTGGAGTGGCAGCCCTAGACTGCAACTTGGACTCTCATGTCCCAGTTATACCATGATGGGCAATCCTGTTCTTTAGTAGCTCAAAATGATGGCAGTGCTTAGGTTTCTCCTTTTTTCATTCAGATCCTGATGTTTAAATGTACATAGTGCATCAAAATCATAACAAAGCTGTTTGTTCTCTAATTAACAACAGGGTATACTTATGGGATAGCTTAAAATTCATTTCTGCTGTTTGTTGTCCTAATATGCTACTTACTGACACAAAGGAGCCTTTTTGTTGAAGGAGCATTTTCTTACAGCCCCCCATGGTATTGTCTAGATTTCATGTTGTTTAGCCTTATTTTGTGATTCACTTTTAGCCATAAGCTTTTCTAGGTATTAGGTACGTAAGTTTCTTTGTCCCTAGCCAGAATATAAAGTGTATTGTAGGAATACAAAACAGATGTTTGCAATACTTTCTTTTGGTTACGTTTTCCCACTGTTTTTTCACTATTCCTATCTCAGGCTGCTCTGTTAAAAATAATTTTTGGGGGGTTAACATGGGAACAGGGCCCATCCTACAAGCTTCATAGCACTTGCTTACCTGGAAACTTTTTGTTCTGAGTCCCCTTCTCCTTTCGTGACCTTGGTCAACCCACATTACTGTACTTCTAGACTCCAATTTCAGCAGCAGCAGAAAGAATTGAACCTCAGTGCCTTTAATGCAGTGGGATTCAATTAAATACAATTAAGTGCTGGCCAGAAAACTGAGTATGTTCAGTTGTGTTATGCTCTGCAATTTTCAAAGCACAGTCGTAGCAGGTAACTAACAAAGTCAGAGCAATTTGCTTTGGAAGTGCTTCTGAATTCAAGTATGTGTTTAAGCAAGAGGAAAAAACATGAATACATTTTAATGAGTTTATGAACTGCCGTACAGTTACCTTTGTGTGCCCACGGAAAAATTAATTCTGAATAGTTTGTTTCAGCATGCACAGCTGGAGGACTGCATTCCAGTTGACAGAGTGAGAATGCTAAAAACCTGAAAGCATGTACAAATTCCCTATAGTTTAACAGCTTATGGCATTAAATGACTTTTCACCTGCTTGGAAAGCTTCTTTCTACACAGTCATGTTCTTTGTGCCTCTTGATGATGGTACATGATGAGGAATGACATAATTCAGCTGATGCACACCCATGCACAATTATAAAATGTGGAGCTCTTTGTAGCAGGGGCAGGCAGTGCGTCAGCATCTTCCATTTTATCAGAAAAATCAGCATCAGTTAGCTCTGTACATCTTCCCAAAATTGCACACAAAAAAAGTTTGTATTATTGTTAATCAGCTGCAAGATGTTAGTGCCTAGAAACCCCAGCTAAGATTAAGGCCTCACTGTGCTGGAGCTCTGTGTGTGCATAAAGCAGTAGGAGATGATTCTAACCTTTGATTCTATTCTCAACTTAAAGCACTAGAAAAGTCCCATGTCCTTAAATGGAATTCCTCACGTGTTTAAACATAAGCACCTATATAACCATTTGCAGATTTGGGTCCTAATTAGTTACTGGGAGGGAGTAAGAGAGCCCAGGTAGAAGTGCACTGAGATGCAGGTTTACTCTTGAATAATAAAACACACAAAATCCATTTCTTTCCAGCCTCTGGTTGCTTTAATCTTTTTGTCACTTCAGCCATCAATGAGGGTAGGGCCGGTGCTGGAACACACTAGTTGGCAATAGCAATGCTAGGTGCTGAAAGTACCAATATTTCCAAGTAGTCTGGCCTCAGTGGTAAGAGACAGTTTCAGGAGTGGAGATAATGAAGGGTGGGAAGGTCAGTGCTACATATTCACCCAGTGTAGGGACAGACATTACACAAACCAGTTTAAGTAATCAGAAACTGGTTTAAACCTGTAACAGAACAGACATTCAGTGCAAGTAAACCAGTTTCAAAATGACCAAAACCAGTCTGAAATAAAACAGGTTGAACATAGTATCAGACTTAATTGATTTGAGTCAAACTGGTCCCAGACCCCAGAGCTTACCCCATACCATACAACACCATCATCCCAGGTTCATGCTTACTGACTCCTTACTCCCCAGTTCATCTTTTCATCATAAAACCAACATTCTCCCCAAATACGTTATTCCTTCTGGCCCTCTCTAGACTGAGGCTTACAGTGTTACCAATAGCAGCACATTACTCTCAACCCATTTTTCCCTTTCAGTTCTTTCCTATGCTGTGCCATAACTTGGGGCATGTGTTTTTCCTTCCCTCTTCAGTCTTATGTCTTGCCCCCTTCTCTGATGGGATGTAGTTATTTCTAATTTAGCTGTGTGCAGCTTG